AATGGCAACCCCATCTTTAAGTTGTTTCCTTGTTGTGCTCCATATACTACTCACTGTTCTTCTTGAGACGTTATAATCTGTAGCTAACTTGTTGATTATGCCTCTCTGAACTGTGTACTCTCCAGTGAATATTTGCTTTGAATGCTTCAGGAGTTCATCAATTATTTGTTGCTTGGTAGTGTTAGAGAGCCTTTTGTACTTTGATTGGAGGTCTGGTGGTAACCCTTCTGCTTCTGCTTGCAGGTATGTATAAGGGGGAGAAGTTGTAGGCATGCTTGGAGACAAAAAGGGTGCTGAAAGTATCAGTAGAAGAAAATAAAGATTGAGAAAAGATTTTAGAAGGGCTACTGAAAGTAGCAGTAGAAGAAAAAAGGAGGGCAGTGGGTTCTAAGAATGGAAAATTTCTTCTATTTATAGATGTTGATTGGCGGCACTTTTTAGAATTTGGTGGAAATTTTTTAGAGGGAAGTGTAAATAATTGCTCCTTTGGTTAGAAAAATATTGGAGGGAACTGTAAAAAAATCTCCTTATGGTGTAATGATTAATGAATAGTCATTTTCTCTCATCCTTACAATATAATTGTACTCTTTTAGCTTTTTTAAATTGTCTACAGTTGTTAAATCATTTCCTACCCTATAATTTGTAATGGAGGGGCATTTATGGAAAGTCAATTCACATTTTACTCCCCCTTAAAAATGAACCTTGGTCAAAACGAGAAATTAATAATAGGACGGAGGGAGTACATCAAAAGATCTATAAAACTAGTAGTGACAATAGTATTTTATTTTATCAAATTGCTAACAAAAATAATGAAAGAAAATGAATGAAGTTTGGCTAAATAGTGAACATGCATCATAATTTGGGACAGAAGGAGTATTTATTTATCTTACTAAAAAAGATCTCAATTTACCCTTTCTTTTAGAATGAACTATGATAAAATCTACATTTCCTTACTATAAGAGTCTGTTTGGTATACATAATTGACAGAATTAGAATTTAACTGAGAGTTCAAATTCTATAGAATTGATTTGGATGCAATTGAATTTTTCAATTCCAATTTATTTTTAGCACTACCAATTCCAAATCCACGTATTTTTGTGCTACCAAATACTCCCCGTGTCACATTTTAAATTAGCTGTTTGTCTTTTTCTCCGTCCCAAAATAAAATGTCTGTTATTTGTTATCGTAAACTTTTAAGAGTAAAATACCTAAACTACCCCTAAAATAAGTCACTCGTCTCCACCTTATCTTCTCATTCATCGTCACCCCTCCTAAAAAGTAATGGCAATTTCGAAAAATCAACTTTATTTTTTCTCTTCCTTAAATATGCCCAAAAATCAAAACAGGTAATTTAAAACGGGACGGATGGAGTAGCAGAATTAGAATTGTTGTCCCCAATTCCATTGTTTGAATTCTCTGTACCAAACAGAGCCTAAGAGGAATTGGAACAAAATACGAAATTAGGCAAAATATAACCAATGATAGAGACGAGGCGCTGCTAGTCTTGAAGAACCCATTTACCTTATAGTGCAAAGGCAATTTGACAAGTCTTAAGGTAGTGCATAGTGAGTAGTGACGTTGAAGGGGTGCGGGAGCATAAGCACGAAATATACTTTAGCAACGGGCAAGAAGTGAGACTTGGAGACTACGACTGGAGTCGAGATAAGTAGAGTTAATAAAACTGGAAAGAACTGTGACAATTGAAACGATAATACTCGATAAACAACTACCATTCGTTACCTATATTTGAAATTTAACACGAACAAGTTAAAGTGGACACACAAAAACGAAAAGCCTCAACGGACTTACAGACGGTACAAGAAGTGGATTCAGTGATCAACAACCTCAGTCAACCACAAAGTTTCTTCAAGACAGCTTCAGCTCGCTGCTCGAATTTAGGCAACACCCATTCATGCTGTAGGATGTCTAGACTGTCTTTTTCAGCACCCAAACTCTGGTTTTAAAAAAAACATAGAGAGAAGCTATGATGATACCATCCAACCAGGAAAAGAACCCACAGCTGCTGTATGAGTCTAGACGTAACAGGATTCCATACATATTCATGCACACTTCTAAGATACTCGGTATAAATTACTTGTTGGTGTTCGCCTTTTTTTTCAAACCAAATAATATGATTTGTTTCATTTCTAATCAAGCATATATACATGTTAAACGAGTATCGAAATAAGAGAGCAAGGTGAGAGAAGAACCAACCTTTGAGGGGTCAAAACCAAATCCACTCATTTGCATCATGCGTTGGGTGTCATCCATAGCTGAAACAGGCAATCATATCAATACACAAAAAAATTACATTCAAACATAATCATCCAATCAGTAATAGAAAAGCTTTGTTTCGTATACAACATAAACATAATTTTATGAAACCGAGAACACATAATGAACTGTGAAAAAAACTAACCGTTTTCTTCTCCAAGAATGAGACTAAACAAACCCCTCAACCCAAAGAGATTGAGGAAGTACCTGAGAGTGACTTAAACTCATTAAAGAGGGAAGTATTAATTAAAAACATGAATAACTAAAAAAGAAGGAAAATAAGTGTAGTACCATGAACGACTACTGACATAACTGACATCAACTGTGCTCAAATCTATCCCGTTTTGTAACATTGACCTGAACCTCTGGGTCAACGGAAAAGGAATTTTTGCTGCGAAAAAAAATTGCATACCCACAGTTATTATACAATAGCACCCTTGCCACTATAAAAACAAAGAGGTTGCTTCTGTTAAACGTTGAATGCCCTTATGTATTGATGCATTTTTGCCCAAAACTCCATACTCCGTGGTTAAGAAGCAAAGGAAGTTTGATGGGCAATTTTCATTTAGTCCAATATTTACCAGAGGCTTGAACATTGTAAAAATGACTCTTTTATTATAACATAGGCACAAATGACAAATTAAGATTACACAAATACAATAAGTATGTCATGAGACAACACACTTACCTGCTACAAATCCAGAGAAGAAGAAGTTAACCCAAGCAAAAGTAAGAGTCTGTCCAATAAAACTTGACCAAGTTAGATTCCGTCATAAACAAAGCTCTATCTGACAACAGGAATGAAAAATGAAAATGCATTAAACAACACCTGAGGTATGATCATAGAGAGATTTTTCTTCATCATATCCATAGCCATGTTAGGATCCGAAAACATTTGTGCCTGTGCATTCTGAGCTTGGTCTTTAGGAACAAAAAGTAACCCATTTTCCTGCATTCAATTCCATTTCAGTCGTGCAACAAAAAAACAATGTCATCATCGATGTAAGGATCTATTTGGATGGACATCTTTGGAGGGATTAGCAAATCATTTATCTGAAGTTTTATAAAAATCAAAAAACTAACACAATCTCTCAAGTGAATCCCAACCTGCAAAGCAAATAAGCAATGCGGTCCATAGATTTGCATATGAAGCAAATAACTTCTAGTAAATTCCCAAAATAAATCGCAATCCGAGCATATGGAAAGAACCATTGAGCTAAAGTTTCAAACTTTGAACGAAATCCATACAGATCATAGACTACAAATCCAACCAATACATAAAAATCAAATACCTCGTTGCTATAATACAATCGTCGTGCTCGAAACGATTTAGCAGGAATAAAATTAGCGGCGGCTCTCAAATTCCTAGCCCTGATTATCACCTGCCTGGAATCATACTCAATAATTTAACAAAATCGTCATGGAAATGCATCGAGGGATAACACAGAGAAAAGAGGGAGCGGACCCTTCTTTGATGATTTTAGCGTCGGGTAAGTGAGAAGATGAGCGCATGAGCTTGGAGACGAAGTATCGGAGGACGCCGATCAAAACCATAACCACCGATAACGGAATCAGTACCCAGTCTCTGATCGCCCTGTCCAACACCAAATCTTCCGCCATCTCTCTCTCTCTCTCTCTCTCTCTCTCTGGAGCAGGAAGAAGATGTTAACCGACGTCGTTCTTTTTCGCTGGCTCTTCTCGAGTTTCGGGTTGGGCTTCCATGGCATCTCATGACTGAAGATTGTATGAGCCCAATCCAACCGCTCATTGTCCAATCTGATATTAAATTCTGATTTTTTAAAAAAATATTTCTAGTTTCTTTTAACTTCATTCAGTTTATTCTAATAACGACAAAAGCAATATTTATATACGATGAATATATAGTAACATCATATATCCAAATATATAAAATACCACATCAAACATGGTTAAATATGTATTCGTTTATATTCAAACTTATCTTTCTAACATTTTTATTTAGATGGTTATTTAATTGAGTCAATTTTTGATAATTTTATTTGTTTCTAATATTTTCCAACTCCTTTTAATTTTTTCAACATTTTTCCATTTCTTTCAAATTTTTTAAGTTTCTTATAGATTTTTCCAACTTCATTTATACAACTCAAACAAACAGTGTCTTATAATTATTCCACATTGTCCACAACAAGTGAATATATACTTATTTAATTGGTGCAAATTTTTGGAGGATAGTTGCATTAATGTAAGGAACATAAAAAGGGTGTGTCTGTAACTAATTGTGCCCTAATATAATTATCATCATAGTCATCTTATAAAGAGGTGTACAGTCATGGCCTAGCTATTTATAGTTTGTCCCAAAATTAATCAAGAGCTAAAATTTAAATAAAAAAACAAATCCATGGAAGGTGAAATCAACAACTTCATTATGGTATGGGTCATTGTGTTATGTTCTTTGTGTTATTGTCACATGATAGATGCCTTCTTCCCAAATTTTAGTTTCAAAAGATTTTTTGCTATCATACCAATTGCTTGCCTCTTCCTTGTCCTCCCTCCACTCACTCTCACTTCCTTGAACCTTGGAGGCACCTCTTGTTTCTTTATAGGATGGCTTGCTACTTTCAAACTCGTCCTTTTTGCCCTTGGCAATGGTCCATTGTACTCCTCCCCTCCCCTTAACCTCACCCATTTCGTCCTCTTGGCTTGCTTCCCTGTAAAGTTCCTAACCTGTAGCCACAAAAAGTCATCATTCTCAATTGAAAGACGACAATTGGCTACGATTATCACAAGTGATAGTGTTTGGCACAACCACTGGTCAGCAAAAGTGAGTCATCTCACGAAGCTATTTTTACTTGGTTTCTTCGTTTGTGTGTACAAGTACAAGGAATGTCTCCATCCGAAAATCGTCTTCTTGCTTTACACGCTCCAATTCGTTTTTCGGATGAGACTGGAGTTGGAGCAACCTTTTAATGATCCACACTTAGCCACCTCCCTCCAAGACTTTTGGGGCAAGAGGTGGAACCTGATCGTCACCAACACCCTTCGCCCCACGGTGTACGACCCGGTACTCTCGATGTTGGTTCGATATATGCAACCACGGCTTGCCAGGTGTCTTGCCGTGATGGCGACATTCCTGGTTTCCGGGGTCATGCACGAGCTTGTGTTTTACACCATTGGGAGGGCGAAACCGACAGGGGAAGTCTTGTCGTTCTTCATCCTCAACGGGGCATGTTTGATTTTGGAGATAGGGATCAAGAGAAGCATCAACCGTAAGTATTGGTTGCCACAAATTGTTTCACGCCTACTTGCTCTCACGTTCGTGATTCTTACGTGTTTTTGGTTGTTTTTACCTCCTTTTTTGAGGAACAAGGCCGATGTCAAAGGATGCACTGAAGCCATGGCTTTCATTGAGTTTGTTAAGCATGGTAGACTTGTTAGTCCAAATTTTATCACTTGTCCATTATATGCATGATATATACATATTATTTATTCTAATCCTTTTTAGTGTTCTCTTAAATGCTAAAACTATTCACCTTTTTATGACTAAAAAGTTTTTTTTGTGATATTTATCCTTAAATTATTCAAAAATTGTGTAGATATTTCTTGATCTTTTAAAATTACTTCAATAGTCTCCGAATTTTTAAATATGGTGCACCAATGATACATTTGGATCGAATTTGAGAACCCGACACAAAGAAATCATTGATGCAACGTTTTAAAAATAAAACACACTTTTCACTTTTCTATATCTCTTTGATTTTTGCATCACCAAGAGTAAAAATGAAAAATTAAGTGCTCCATTTTTCGACATACGCTATATACGTGTCAAACTAAACGGTGAGACAATTTGAAATGAAGCGAGTATATTTTTAAAAATGTTCAAACAACATACTACTTATTACATAACATCAATATGATTATATTTAATAACAACACCGACAATAACAATTACAATAACTAGATTAATATATATAATAGTACGAGTAATTAGACTTCTCCCAACATGCTTAGACAAATGAAATTATTGGGTATTTGGAGACATCATATGATCTCCATACATATTACTGGAAGATAAAAATACCAATATATATATATATATATATATATATATATATATATATATATATATATATATATATATATATAAAAGTTTGTACCGCTGTTTAATCCTCACCTAATAATAATAACTCAGAATGGGAAGAAACACAAGCCCAACTGCCAACAGATTGAAAAGCCCAACTAAACTGAATGGAGCAGAACCCGCTGTAGGCCCAGCTGCTCCGTCCACAGACTCAGTTTTGACCCATTTCTGTTTCCCAACCATCATATTAAACGAAAGTCCACTTTCCCATCCGTTCCCGGATGGACTTTGAGAGGATACGGGCCCATATCCACCGGAGTACGGGCTTTGTGCCAAACCAGGTGAGGGTGCATTGGCGAAGCCCACTGAAGGCCCATGGGCCAGTTGGGCGTCCCGAGGCAGGACATTAACGGGCAGCTTAAGCCCATTTCTGCAGTGGTCCATGTTCCCGCTTGCGAAGTACCGGATTCCCTCTCCGTCCAGGGAGATCTTGTTGAGGCCGTCCGTATACATTTTGATTGGGTTTGTGAGATCGCACGACTCGTATTCTTCCCAGCTCCCCACCTCCACGATGTTATCTTGCGCCGCCGAGTACGTGAACCCTGCCCATCATAGATTGTTTATTCTCCATGTTTTTATGATTTTCAATGCCTTGAGTTTCACTAATTTTATCAAAAATCTAAAATATTAAAAATCTAAAATATTTTTAATTTGTACTGTGCAAATATAAAAGCAAATAAAATTGACAAACTAAAAATAGATACACAAGATATACTACTTCTATGTAAATCAGAAAAAACAAATACTCCCTCCGTCCCTCAGTTTTTGTCCATTTTTTTACTTTTTGAACTGTTCATCTAATCATTTTGACTCATTAAATTCTCTCAATGTGTAAGCCTAAATATAGTTATGTGTGATCTTGTTTGATTTATCTTAACAAATAGATTATTACTCCCTCCGTTTGGAAAACCCTTCCCATTTGATTTGGGGGCAAAAATAAGGAAGTGTTAAATTATAGTTGATTTCCAATTTTGCCCCTGAAGTGATAGGTAGGGTAGGAAAAAGTAAGGGTAAAGTGGTTTTTTAATAGAAAGGGAAGTGTTTTGTTGGAAGTGGAAAAAATGAAAGAGGAAGTGTTTTTTAGAACGGAGGGAGTAGTATATAATTTCTATAATTTTTTAATATACAAATTACAAGATAAACTGGATTAAAGAAGTGCATTGGATGGTGTGTAAAAATGAAAGTGGACAAATACTTTGGGACGGAGGGAGTATGAAACAACTTTTATTTTAATTGTAAGAAAAAAATAATAATACAAATATTTTTTTAGTAAAACAAATTAAGATGTTTATTAAAATAGAACATCAACTTGTAATACTCAATATAAAAGTAGAAGTGATGTATTTAGGTCTTTTAGATTGGATATGATTGTTAAGTCTAATCAATTTGCATCTAATTTATTTTAAGTTTGGACAGAACCATATTGAAACCCAAATGCTTCTTTTTGTTTTACCGAAGTCCGACTCGAAATCAACTTCTTTCATACCTAATAGTTTGGTTAAGTCAATTTTTTTCAATCTAGACGTAAACTTAAACATTCTTAATAGTTTTCTATCTATCCCGCCGCTAATACGGCATCACGAGCCTCCACATCCATCACACTTAGAGTGGGAGACACATGGCTCCAAAATGTGGTATCTAAGGATGTGTTTCGTTCATGTGAACTTAACGGATCTGTTTGTCTGAAGATCTAGATTAGTTTGATTTTATTGGGTTTGATGTGATTTGATTAGATATGATAACGTTTGATATGATCTAATCTGATATGGTTTGATTTGACCTAATTGGATCTGATTTTTAAAAAAAGTTGAACAAAACGTACCATAAGCCTTATAGCGGCATTGCAATATTAAGAACACAGCATATTATCCAAAATTTAAGCAAATCATAATTATTATCTTCAAAATAGAAATAACATATTTTTATTTCCAAATGTTACAATGTATTGTACGTAATATATTAACATTTTATAGTATTATATGTTACTTCCTATGTACCAAATTAATCCTCTTTAGTTTTTTTCCTTTTGGTTTGTCTTAAATTAATCTTCTTCTTTTTTTTTTGAAAAACATTTTGTGTTTTAGCTTTTTTCTATGTTTTCTGTACTATTTTCAACTACATAATTTTACTTTTGTTAAATTATTTACAAAATCAAATTAAGAGAATTAATTTGGGACGGGATATTATTTAATTATGTGTTCTATTTTACAAATAAAAAAGCATAAAAACATAAAATTTTAAGTTAATATTTTATTTTAAGTTTTATTATTCTTATTTTCCGTTAAGAAAGCTCAATTTAATACTTGAATGTACTTACATAGAACATCACCAACTCTAAAGATTCTGGGAGATGGAGACCAATTATCATTAATTTGATCAATGAAATTTGAGGTCTCCCAGCCTCTGTCTCCGCCTACCACGTAGTGATGTCGTTCTTCAGATTCAACCGCCGCCACCGTCACCGCCGCCACCATAAGAAACACTGCCACCGCTGCAACACCTCCATTGTTGTTTTTGTTTCTCTTGTTACACCCCATTTCCATTCTCTGGGTTTGCAACCAATAAGAGGGTCTTTTATGTGTGCGTCTATATATATATATATATATATATATATATATATATATATATATATATATATATATATATATATATATATATATATATATATATATATATATATATATATATATATATATATATATAGACACACACACACACATATACAC